CATTTTGAGGCCTCCATCAACAGAGTGGTTACTTTGAAGTCTAAAAACCTGTTCCAGTGTTTCAAAATGATTCTGAGCTTTTTAATTTTTCAAAATTTGCAAAAATTTTTCAAAAAAATTTTCAAAAAATTTCAAAATGAATTTTTTCTCAAAGAACTCAACTTAAGAATTGTAGGTAATGAAAATTAGTGTAAGTTCGAGAAGAAGCGAATTTGAGATTGTTCAACGAGCGTTGCTCATTTATTGACCCTCCATCTTATCGATGTTTTATCTTCATTCCCATATTGTTGTTAGAACTTCATGAAAATGTTCAATCCAAATTCAGGAGGAGGAACGAATGCTTCAATGGCAAATTGGTAATGTTGAATTTTCGTGTGGTGCAAAATTGGACGACGTGTCAGCACGTCACTGGGATCAGAACGAAGCAGTTGCACAGTTCGCTGGCGAGCATGCATTGCTGACGGATGGCTGTGCTGAGCTGATTCGTAGAATGGCTGAGGGCACCGATATACGATGTAATCATCAGGTGCCCGCTTTTAATTTCAATGGTTTTGTTCTCGATTAATATCGTCGTGCACACACTTGAGGAATAACACGTGGTGAAGTGAACTGTTTGATCATGAACGGGATCGATGATGATGGATTGATACAAAAGGAAATTTTTCCAGTTTTCGGTCACGGCTTATTGTTGCCCTCTTTCAGGTGACTAGAATTGAATGGAAATCTCGTAAGAAGATTATAGTGCGATGTGCGAATGGTAAGAAATACAGTGCTGACAAGGTGAAGAAAACTTTTGATATCGTGACTGGTTTGAATTTTTCGTTGTGCACTCAGTGTGTACGTTCGAATTGTTTCATTGCTATTTTCGTTTTCAATAATCCTATTTGGCGTAACAGAGTTGAATTGTTCTTATTTTTAGGTTCTCATCACAGTACCATTAGCAGTTTTACAAAAGGAACGAATATCATTTGCACCTGAATTGCCAGTAGCAAAACGAGCTTCGCTGAAACGTCTCGGAGCTGGACTCATCGAAAAAGTAATTTGTCTTCCTCCAAAATGTTCTTTCAATGAATTCAAATTGATTTCTCACTGTAGTCACTGCTCGCAATATTAAAATATCCTCTAGCAAGAACATCAATTAAAATTCAAGTCCTATTTGACCAGATATTCAATGTGCCGATCCTTTTTATCGCTCAGTTCATTTTGACCAACGTTGTCGGATCATGACTTTCTCATATGACCAGAAAAAACTTCTCAAACAGGTTGCTGTCCGATTTCCTCGAAGATTTTGGTCATCAATTCTGAGAAGCGATGGAACACTCGATTATTTCGGTCACGTACCGAAAGAAGCCTCCGAAAGGGGGCTCTTTAATATGTTCTACGATTTTTCGAGTCGAGTATGTTTTGCCAACGAATTTACAATTCAAATTTCAGCCGTTTTGCTCAACTTCTTGTGGTGAAATTTCAGTAGTCACATTTAAGAGTACGAATAAAGTAAAATCTAACCGTTCTGTGCTTCACTATGCAGAGATAAATGGTTAAAATTGTTTTCGTTTAATGAGCAAGGAGATGAATCTCACCACCAGAGATAAAATGGATCAATTCACTTATCACAAAACTATTCCGATTTGCAGAGTTCAAAGAATCCGCAATACGTGTTGATGTCGTATGTGTGTGGAGAGTCGGTGAATTTAGTGAATGAGAAGAGTGATGTTGAAGTTGTTGATGTTTTTGTGGATACGCTCAGGGAGATGTTCCCTGATGAGGTTCTCTTTTACATTAACACTCCATTTGAGTTGGTTGCATTCTGTTCAGTGAAATCAATAAAAACCAAGAATTGAAAGCTTGTTGGCATTTGGAAATTCAGTGAAACGATCGCAGAAAGTGCACTGGAGTAATGATGGTCTGCTTGGAGTTATGAGGAATGACAGAGGTCGTGAATGCGATGCAGTGATCGCTTCTGTTCATTGATGCATATGAAAGAACGGAGTATCTCGTTGTCTTTTCATTCGATTCATTATTCGGCTTGTTATTTCAGCACATTCCTGATCCGGACGGGTGTGTGGTGACACATTGGGGTCGTGACCCATTTATCGGGATGTCCTATTCGTATATTCGTGTTGGTGGCAGTGGTGAAGATTACGATACTGTTGCAAGTGATGTGGAGCAGAAGCTTTTCTTCTCTGGAGAGGTTATTCGTGATTAGTTGATACTGGATGATGACTTATATTGTACTTTTTTGAAGTTTAACAAAACATTTCCATCTTAATATTTTCGAAAATTTTCAAATAATTTAAGGGTACCAACCGTTTCTTTCCACAAACGATGACCGGTGCTTATGTAAGTGGTCTACGCGAAGCGGGTAAAATTGCCGAATATTGGACGAGGAAACGCCCTGAAAATGATTCTTGAAGCGGTCTACAACTGTTACACTGATCGTTGGTGTTGTAATTTTGATAGTCTACTGATCAAAAACGTTGTTATCGCTTACCAAGTCAACGGATTCATATTCATCATCGCTGATGGAATCCGCTTGAAATTCGAAATCTTTCATCATTTTGCGAAACTCTTAAGTGGGAACCATTTGGACGATTCCTTGCGAAGCGTACGCATGAATAATGTTTGTGTGTTGCTGTGTTCTTGGATTGAAGCTGAAATTCGTTAATGAACCTTTATTATTCGTTTGGAGATGCACACTTATCCCAATAAGCGGTATATTTTTGTCACTTATCTAATTGTGTTGTTCTGCTTTCCGACAGTGTCACCCACATTCCTTTTTCAGAAATGAGTCACATTTTCTGTGTCCTGCTGTTCTGTTCAGTCAGACTAATCTAAATGAATGTGCAGCTCGTTATTTCATTTACTTTTAATTATTTCTCGTATTTTCATCGTAGTTATAGAGCAGCTGGCATTTTGCAGTCCCTTAAGTGTTCCCATCTCATGCTTCATCCTTCATCGTTTTCAGATGTTTATAATTCATTCTCGCTCACAATTGAAATTATTCCGAATGATTAATTTGAACATTAATGAATGCTTTTTTGTTTTGCTATATCGGTCATGTGTAACCGTTTGTATTCAGACGATGAGTTGTTATGGATATGATCGTTATTTCGTATTTGAGTACCTCTAAAAGTTATCGTCTAATCAGTAATCAGTCAGTATGTTCGTCTGTTTTATTGAACACAAATCAAACGAATCTCATTTGTGCACACTTTGTGTTGCACTCGTCTCATTTTGTGATTGTTTATTATTACAATTTTTATTTATTCACCCAAAATATTCATTTGTCTCGATTACCGTTTCTTTCAGCTGATTTTCATCGTCAAATTGATTCTTCAATCGTTTCGTATTTCCGAATTTGAATGTAATCTTTTGAATATTATTCGTTGCGTTAAGTTTA